GACCACTGCCAGGGAGGGGGCAGCCACAGCTTCTCTGGGCAACCTGTGCCAGTGCCTCACCACCCTCAGAGGGAAGAATTTCTTCCTTAGATCCCATCAAAATCTCCCCTCGTTCAGTTCAAAGCCATTGCCCCGTGTCCTGTCACTACATGCCCTTGTCCAAAGCCCCTCTCCAGCTTTCTTGGAGACCCTTTAGGTACTGGGAGGTGCTGGAAGGTCTCCCCGGAGCCTTCTCTTCTCCAGGCTGAACAGCCCCAACTCTCTCAGCCTGTCTCCAGAGCAGAGGTGCTCCAGCCCTCGGATCATCTTCGTGGCCTCCTCTGGACCCGCTCCAGCAGCTCCATGTCCTTCTGATGTTGGGGACCCCAGAGCTGAACACAGCACTGCAGGGGGGTCTCAGGAGAGCAGAGCAGAGGGGCAGAATCCCCTCCCTCGCCCTGCTGCCCACGCTGCTGGTGATGCAGCCCAGGACACGGTTGGCTTTCTGGGCTGCCAGAGCACATTGTCAGCTCATGCTGAGCTCCTCACCCACCAGCACTCCCAAGTCCTTCTCCTCAGGGCTGCTCTCCATCCATTCTCGACCCAGCCTGTACTTGTGCTTGGGATTACCCCGACCCACGTGCAGGACCTTGCACTTGGCCTTATTGAACTTCATGAGGCTCTCACAGGCCCACCTCTCCAGCCTGTCAAGGTCCCTCTGGATGGCAACCCTAGATGCTCCAGATACCCTGGAGCAAAGACAACTGCTGCCACAAAGGCAAAATAAGAGTCCGAGGTGCTCTCCTGCCTCCAGAAGTCACCTCAGCAGAAACCAAGGCCACTGCTTGGGCAGTTTTTCTCGCTTGGAAAACATCTTGAAGCCTATTTCCAGACAGCAAGACCCAACCATTTCCAGGCTAACCTGCAATTTTCAACCACCTAAGCACCCTGACCCACTTTCACGCAGAAGATCGCAGCCTTTCAAACTTCTTGGACTTAATTCCTTTTTTTTTTTTTTTTCCCTCCCCTCCTTTTGGAGAAATTTGCACAGAAAGAGTTTTGGTTTTTTCTAAGGAGGTAAATAAAAAATGAAATAAAACGGGGTATATTTGCCTGGGTCATAACTAACTGTTCTGGAGGAGGAGGATGTCTCTGTGGTTTGGAGGAAGAGGTGGATCGCTGGCAGGAGAAAAAAAAAGAAATTCTTCTCTAGGCTGTTATTTCGCTTGGAAAGCAAAGCCGCCCGGGATTTGGGCATCTGAAGTGGCACGGAGGGTTCTTGCAACCAGACGCAGCGAGATACAGCTCTCCTGCTGCACGCTTCCGGCCGGGGGTGCCCCGGCTGGGCGTGCAGGGCTGCATGAACCTCATGAAGACCAACAAGGTCAAGTGGAAGGTTCTGCAGCAGCATCACCAAAGACTAGGGCATGCACGGGTTTAGAGTAGACATGTGGAGAAGGACTTGGAGATACTGGTGGATGAAAAATTGGACGTCAGCTGGCAACGTGCGCTCGCAGCCCTGAAAGCCAACCATGCCCTGGGCTGCATCCAAAGAAGTGTGACCAGCAGCTCAAGGATGGACGTTCTGCCTCTCTGCTCCGCTTTTATGAGATCCCACCCAGAGCACTGCGTCCAGCTCTGGGGTCCACTGCACAGAAAAGACGTGGTCCCGTTGAAGCAGGGCTAGAGGAGGCCATGAAAATGGTCAGAGGGATGAAGAAAGGCTGAGACAGTTGGGTTTGCTCAGCCAGAAGATGAGAAGGGTCTAGGTAGAACTTATTGTGGCCTTTCCTTATACAACAGGGGCTTACAACAAAGATGGAGACAACTTTTTACCAAGGCTTGTAGTGACAGGACAAGGGGAAACAGTTCTAAACTGAAAGAGGGTAGGTTTAGGTCGGGCATAAGGAGGAGATCTTTTATGATGAGGGTGGTGAGACACTGCAGCAAGTTGCCCAGAGAAGTTGTGGATGCCCCATCATTAGAAGCGTTAGAGGGCAGGTTGGATGGGGCAACCTGATCTAGCACAAGATGTCCCTGCATCTTGGGTTGGACTAGATGATCTCTGAAGGTCCCTTCCCAACCCAAACTATTCTGTGAGTCTGTGGACCACTTGGTGGATAAGGAATTGGCTGGATGGTCGCACTCAAAGAGTTGTGGTCAATGGTTTAATGTCCAAGTGGAGACCAGTGACAAGTGGTGTTCCTCAGGGGTCAGTACTGAGGCCAGTGCTATTTAACATCTTTGTTGGAGACATGGACAGTGGGATCGAGTGCACCCTCAGCAAGTTTGCTGACGACACCAAGCTGGGTGGTGTGGTGGACACGCTGGAGGGAAGGAATACCATCCAGAAGGACCTTGACAGGCTTGAGAGGTGGGACTGTGAGAACCTCATGAAGTTCAACAAGGCCAAGTGCAAGGTCCTGCATGTGGGTCAGGGCAATCCCAAGCACAAGTACAGGCTGGGTGGAGAATGGATGGAGAGCAGCCCTGAGGAGAAGGGCTTGGGGGTGTTGGGTGATGAGAAGCTCAGCATGAGCCGGCACCGTGTGCTGGCAGCCCAGAAAGCCAACCGTGTCCTGGGCTGCATCACCAGCAGTGTGGGCAGCAGGGCGAGGGAGGGGATTCTGCCCCTCTGCTCTGCTCTCCTGAGACCCCCCTGCAGTGCTGCCTTCAGCTCTGGGGTCCGCAACAGCAGAAGGCCATGGAGCTGCTGGAGCAGATCCAGAGGAGGCCACGGAGATGATCCAAGGGCTGGAGCACCTCTGCTCTGGAGACAGGCTGAGAGAGTTGGGGCTGTTCAGCCTGGAGAAGAGAAGGCTCCAGGGAGACCTTCCAGCACCTCCCAGTACCTAAAGGGGCTACAAGAAAGCAGGAGAGGGGCTTTGGACACGGGTGTGGAGTGACAGGACACGGGGCAATGGCTTTAAACTGAAAGAGGGGAGATTTCGATGGGATCTAAGGAAGAAATTCTTCCCTCTGAGGGTGCTGAGGCACTGGAGCAGGTTGCCCAGAGAAGCTGTGGCTGCCCCATCCCTGGAAGTGTTCAAGGCCAGGCTGGATGAGGCTTTGGGCAACCTGGTGTAGTGGAAGGTGTCCCTGCCCATGGCAGGGGGGTTGGAACTGGGTGATATTTGAGGTCCCTTCCAACCCAAACCATTCTATGATTCTATGATTTCTGCCTGTGAAGAATGGCCCATGCAGACCATGATGTCCAGCGTCAATGGCCAACGGAGGACAACGAGCTACTTACTGTTGTAGTAGGCGAACTGGAGGTAGTTGAAGTGCGAGGGCAGGAAATCCTCGAAGGGCTTCTCCCGGCCGGGCTGGGAGGCCAGCTCTGTCACGCAGCCCTGCTTGCAGCTTAGCACCTGCATGTAGTGATCTGGTGGAGAAAAACTCCGCGTCACTGCTCGTGGTTGGCCAAGGTCTCCACTCCAACCTCCTCTGGACAGTTTTCTAGTGGTGGAAACCCTCACGGACGGTGGGTCACCCCTTCTGTGTGATTGGTGGTGGGGCTATGGGGACAGAGTGGCCATCCTCAGCCTCCCACCCTTGTGTGCTGCTGACTCTCTGATGGTCCTTCTGGAATTTAAAGGGTTCCTGGAGCATGGTCAAACACCTCCTGCTACTTAACTGGCCATGCTCCTCCTAGTAAAACCTAGGATGGGATTTGCCCTCTTTGGCGACCCACCACCTCGCAGGTCTTTGGGGACCACCATCCACCAGGATTGTCCCCAACTCTTGAGACAGGACACAGCTCCCACCTGTGATGGCCTGGAAAAGGTCCGCGTTGTACTCTAGGTAGTTGTAGCCCTCGTAGTCGTAGGGGCCCTCACAGAGCGCGCGGCACTCGGCAT